TCGGCGTTATGCAACGCACACAATGAAAACTTAGATCATCTTCTGCTTCATTGTAACTTGGCCGAGTCTATTTGATGGCTTTGTATCTTTTGGTGGATGTGTTTTTTTCTTCACATAATTCGGCGTGGTGTGTGAAAGGATTAAATGTACGGGTTGACCAATTTTAATTTGAACTAATATAAATGTTTTAATGCGGTTGTTATTCCGATATTTTGAGCTATTTGGACCTTTCAGAACATTTAATCTTCGGAACGACAAAACCTAAAAAATGATAGATTTTTTTTACAAAATTGCTACTAAATTTTTTTTTTTTGGATTATTAATAGAAGCTCGAAATATAGGATAATTGCTATAAATCGAGTAAGCTGGTTGTATAATTTGTTTCTTCCAATTTCATCATTGTAATTTTTTCATGCAAAATTATATCATTTCAATAAAATGTTGTCTTGTTTCAACATACAAATTGCTTAATCATTTTAGTTTTCAAAGTAATATGACAATGCTACATAACCACAATTGCTCCTTTTCATTTCATTTATTTAAGATATATTTTGTATGTAGGAACCGTTTGATAGTTTCTGATTGAAAAAATGTTGATTGATAAAGATCTGTCTAAGTAATAAATTATGTTGAGTAAGAAATCATGTTATTTGATTGTACATCTGGTTGAATGTGCTGACTGATATAAATGATATTTTACCCTGATGCTCTATATAGTGATTGATGATAATAATAATAATAATAATAATAATAATAATAATAATAATAGTAGTAGTAGTGTATATAAAAACTTACAGCATAATAGACATTAAATATATTATTGTAGGGATTAAAACATAAAAAACCCTCTAACTTGTTGCTAAACACCATTTTTTGTATAAGGAAGACCCAAACCCGATTCTCGTAACCTCCTTATACACATGAATTTTTATCCAAGGGATCCAATGGCAAGGGTATACCGGAAAGTGTTGCTTCCTTTCTCTGTTAGTTATGTTCCAACTTCGGCATAAATTTTACATATCAAATACTTTCAGCTGATCGAATCAGCCAAAAGTGTCCGACGTGACTTGGTCAACACATATCAAAGAGGGCCTAGGTCTTGTTCTTTTATTAAAATTTACCAAATCTTGTGTGTTATTTATAAATAAAATTATAAAGTTAAAATATCAACAAAAATAAATTTCTAAAAATAATCGATTATAAAATATTAAATTTTATACTAAATTAAAAGACAGGTTGTCTTTCTCTCTTTCATTTTGTCATATATCCCGTCTCTCTAAGTAACCATAACATATTTAGATACTATCTGAAAGTTTTCGAGAATATCTTTTCCTATAAGATCTTCAAGAATCCCATTAAAATATAGAGAAATTAAATTGATTCTTACTTTTTATACCTACAAATGTTCCTACCCAATAAAATTATGACAAGTGTCATCTTTCCATATTTTTTAAACTAAATCATTAAGATTATATTAGGAATATATCAAATACAATTAAATTGAATGGTGATTTATCATAATTTTAGTGGATAGAAATAATCGTAGGAATAAATGTAGGAGGCAATTTAATTTCTCTAAAATATAATAAAATGAATCATAGAAAATATATTTTAAAAGTTTTTATATAAATAAAAAATGATAATAAAATGTAGTATTTGGTTTATTTGTTGCTTCCATTGCCACCCCAACTATTGTACCTTTATTGAACCTTTAAGTGCGGTCATATTAGAGAAGCAATAACAGACGGTTACCATACGTCCGTTCGCATGAGCTACTCTGTCACCGCCGGTAACTTTATCTTACCTCACCAGACGCCATTCCGCCTACACTCGCAGTTTTACCAGTGAAATCACACTAGCAACCAAAAGGATGACTTCAACAATGGAGAATTTTTGGCAAAAGGCTAAATCATTAGCTGAAGAAGCAACAAGGAGATCTCAAACCCTAACTTCTTCTCCGGTCAGAATTGCCGACATCGTATCTGAAACCGCCAAGCGCTCTAAAGACATTGCCGCCGAGGCATCTAAGAAAACCGCCCTCCTCCTCTCACTTGCCGATCAAATCCCATCTCTCTCGATTACCTCATCATCATCTTCTTCTGACACTCCGTCGGAGTTGGAGCTTGAAACGTTCGGGATCACTCAGGATCTCCGAGACTTCGTCAAAGGACTCACGTTATCGACATTCCAGAGTTTCCCCTTTCCAGGTTTCCTCACTTGTTTCGTTGATTTTTCTAGTAATCTCTATGTAAATAGTGGTTGTTCATGCTCTGTTACTGATATCTATTGATTATGTTGATTGCTCAACTAAGTCCAACACGTTAACTTACCTTTGACTATGAATGTCAAGTTCGTTGATTCGAAATTTCCAATTCGAAATTTATGTTGAGCATTCTTCAAGTAACTATCAATCACTGAAGTTCTTAACACTAACTACATAACTATCAATCACATATTCTCACATGACTCTAATCAAATCACCCCGATCGTTACTGTTATAGTGTTATTAATGATCTATGTAAGGCAATTTGATTAAATTGGATGAAATGATGTATGAGTATGATTATAAGGCAAAATTATCTAACTATATTCACTAATCACAATAAGGCAACTAAACTTGTTTCCATTGGATCTCAGATGATTTGGTGTCTGATGTTGCTACTGTCTCCAATGTAAGGCAAGATCTTTCAGAATGGCAGCAAAAACATGCAAATCTTGTCCTCACAACAGTAAAGGTATCCACACATTTCTTACATAAACAAAAACACAAATGGAAATTTTGATCATGATTCATGATGATTCAAAACAGGAAGTTTCAAGGTTGAGATATGATTTATGCCCAAGACACATGAAAGATGGAAGATTTTGGAGGATATATTTTACACTTGTGAGCACTCATGTATCCCCGTATGTGACTGCTTTTTTCTTGGAATTTCCATTAAAGATATCTTAAATGTTATATTAAATGTTATATCTTTTGATATTATATATAGGTATGAAAGAAAGTTTATAGAAGAGAACAGATTAAAACAGACACCACAAAAAGAAACAGAAGAGGTGGAAGCAAAGCTGAAAAGTAAGAGTTCTTCATCAGAACAGGATTTGGATTCATATCTTTTGGGAGATTTTGATGACAGTGATGCTGAAAATAATGATGCTTTTGATGGTGGTGATGATGATGAAGATGATGATTTTGATAAGATTGAGAATTCTGTAAGTATAAACATTGTTTTGTTACTTAATTTGGAATTTGTGTTTATCGTAAAAATTGGGTTATGTTATATGTTTCTATCTGTATTATTTGCAGGAGATTGAAGATGGAAAATAAGTGAAAGAAGGATTGATTTGTAAGATTGATGAAACATGATTTGTTTATTTTGTGATGATGTTTTTCTTTTATGCAATTATGTAGTAAATCATTGTTTAAGTTGGATTCAGTTCCATATAGAAAATATATAGTCCAATCTTTTTAGTGTTTCCAGTGTTTTGTTTAAAACAAAAAGGACCTAATTTTTGGGAAATTGTCAGAAAAGTCCTAATATTTTCGGAAAAGTTACTGTTAAGTCCCCAAAAAAATTGAACATATTTGGCTCAAATTAACAAAAAAGTCTTCTGTTTTTCTTTTAACAGAAAATGTCATATATTATCGAGTAAATCAAATAATTGTGACTTTTCTGTTTAATTTTTTTTTGGGGCTAAAATATAACTTCTTCCAAAATAAAAGGACCTTTCTGAAGATTTCCTAGTTTTTGTTTTTTTTAACATTTCAATTCTGAGCTTGTTTCTAAATGTCTTTCTATGTAATTTTACAATTTTTAAAGCTTACAACTATTTTTGCACTTACAAATAAAAACTTCAACTTGCAGCTATTAACTATTTTTGCTAAACATATGAAATCATGGTTATCCTGGTCGACTGGATTTGAGATGAGGAACTTACATTGTTGTTTTTAGGATATAAAAAACGAAAGAGAGACATTAGTTTATTTGATTGTGTTTCCATAGAAAAATAATAATTACAAGAGTTATTTTATCATATAATCATATATCAAATACATCATTTGTCGCACAATGTGAAACATTTTTAATACTCGTGTCCTCTGAAATTGCAATATTTAAGCCGCCTTTAATGGACCACTAAAATATCATTTTAGATGTCAATTAATCAACCTTCAAAAGTCATATCATTTTTTGTGTTGATTTCTTTTTAACACCAATATAATGATGCTTTTGAGATTATTTAAACATAAAATTTTATATCGATTCAAAAGTCAGATTTGAAAAGCAATTTAATAAAAGAAGGGAAAAAGTTTTTGGGGTGAGAGAGGCTCGAACTCTCGACCTCAGGATAACTCAGATAGCTATGAGACCTACGCGCTAGCCAACTGCGCCACCACCCCTTTGTGTTATTACAGCCTATCATTATTTATTTAATAATTCTATAACATAATAACTGTTAAAGTTTGTATATGTTTTGGCAACGAGCTAATTTTTACTTTTACTTTTTTTTTTTTTTTTTTTTTAAATCAAACCGAAGTAAAAAAGCTTTGTCTGTGACTATGAATTTAAATATTTTATTTTAAAACAAACTTTTTTTTTTTAAAGCTTTTAAGATATTTTAGAAGATTTTCGCTTTCATGTAACTTTATACCAAAAACTTCTGTACAATATAAAGTTACAAAATTACTTCTTGCAACAAGCGATCAGCTATTTTGCCAAACATACCACACCAAATTCGTTTAACATAAACCCTCCATAATCATATCTTAATTTACTAGCTTTCGTCCTAAACAAGTCACATTACACAACAAACACAAAGAGTACAAATTAATTTTATATGTATCATTTCCATTTCCATTTCCATTTCCATGTGGGTCCCATCTTCAACATCAATAATAAGTAAATAGTAAAAACAAACCCAATTCCTCTAAACTCTTAAAATAATAAGTTTTTGTTTATTTTTCTTCAAACACTAAAAAAAAAAAAAAAAAAAAAAAAAAAAGGCAACACTCAACTCATCATCCACATGCAGCAGCTCTTTCTACAACATAACAACAGATTTCTCGGGTTGCCAAAACCACACATCATGTACAAATTGACCCATTTACCCCCCTTCCCAAAACATAAATTTATCACCAATTTCATGTCTTGAGTCTTTTTGGAGGTTGAGATTGATCAGAGTTTTCTCCATTGCTAAATTCTTGAAACCTACCCACAGGTTGTTGAGCGTTCTCATGTTCCTAAACATAAAATACCATTCTAATTTCATTTTCAATTAACTATAATGTCTTAAATCTTAATAAGAAATGAAAAAAGTAAAATATTGTTGCGTAAATTTGTACCTTAGTAGTGGATATGAGTCCTCTGTTTGCACGTTTCCCAAGATCAACTTGTACTGAAATGGTAGCTTGAGTCAAATCCACACCCGAGTTTTGTAACGCATCTGTAAGCGAATTTAATAACCTAAAAAAAAAAATATCTATATTTAAATTTTAAAAAATGGTTTTCGAATAAAAAGTTGCTTTATAGTTTTTACACTTACCCTTGAGAATAAACACTTGAAATACTAATTGTCCCTCCTTCAACCATCAACTCATCTTGCTGACTTCCATCTCGGGCAGCCGGGCCCGGGCAATCACTTGACCCGTGAAGGGTAGAATGGGAAAATCCACCATCAACAACCGGGGCAGATTGTCCGGGCAGCATTGGGATGGGCATGAGTGTTGTCTTGTTTGATAATTCAGGTTGTGAATCGATCATGTTACAGTTCATGTCACTAGGGTCAGTTCGGGCAGGGTTTTGATTTTGTGAGGTTGTGTTGATGGGAGGGGCAATTTGGACATTTTCATCGAATCTAACGGGAAAAGATGGTGGTTGACCAGAATCGGTTTTTATCACGGGGGGTTGACCGAAATTTGGGACACGCCAGTGACTATTTCTCTATGGGGAACCAAAGATATGAAAAATAAATTCGGTTATTTTGAAAATATATTAAGTAAAAAATATTAGAAAAATGAGATGTTAAATGTTAATTACCCATGGCATTAATTTTGTGGGCTCTGTGCTCCAACCTTGATATGATCCTTCATATTTTTGTACCCTTTCTTGTAAATATTGAACATATTCTATTACCTACAAAGAAACGATAATCATTAGATAATAGATCACATAAATACATAATCATCCTTCAAATAATAATAATAATAATGATGAATATATAAATATGTTTTACATTTAGTTGATTTACCTCGAGTAGAAACGATGCTGTATCTCTCTTTTGATCGCTATTGGGTATCAAATCCCTCAATATCTGGAATCTAATCAACAAGAAATGAAAGCTAATTCATTATGTTTTGTTAGATTGATAGGTTACATTATCATCTCAATTCTGTTTGATCTTAGTTGATAAATTTCCATTGATTGAATGATTTCAGTTCATCATTCCCACAAACATTTTGTAAATGTAATTACGTTAACTACAAAGAAAACATGATAGAATCTAAAACTCATAAAGGATAGCAAGATTTTTACCAAAACCGACAAATTCCAGACAAATTAGGTAAAAGATTAATGGTGATTGTGATCAAAGACATGCCTTTCATTGATTTTGCTTCTTCGACGCTGTTCTGTAACTGAATGCTTCGACCTAGTAGCATTAGCTTTATCACTGCTCTTCCCATCTGTTTTAATCCCAATTCAGTTAATATATACAAAATCGCTTCATAAGAAAACGATTAGATGATTGTTTTTCCCTTTTGGGGATTGAATAATCAACACAATTGAATAAAGTTTGGGAATTTAGAAACCCAAAATTGACTTAATATACAATTGCTATAAAATCGATCAGGTGTTCTTAATTTTAAAGGGGATAACAGACCTTTGCTGGTATTGGAAGACGGGGTGTTATCTTTCTTGACGCCGAATTCTTCATAATCGTCTTCCTCCTCCTCCTGATGACCTTTACTCGATTTCATTCTCCCTATTGTTGATATAGGTTTGGAGAATTTCAATCAATTTAGGGAAAGCAGATGGGTTAACGATTGATTAGAGTAAAACAGGTAGATCTATCAAATAATTAAGGGGGGGATACAAGTCTTACGAGGTAAAGCTGGATCTCTGAATTGGGTAAACGCCGGCGGCGGCCACCGTGATAAGAACTTCACGGGCTTGCAGGAAAACCTCTTTTCACGTGCTTCTCATGAGCTGCCTTACCCTTTTTAGTTGATTGTTTTTTATCATTATTTTTCTTTTTTTCATCTTATTTGATTACGATTTATTTATTTATTTATTTATTTATTATTATTTTTTTAAATTAACATTTATGTATGTCTATATTTTGGAATATTCACCTTTTATAATCCAATATCACAATATAACCACAAATTTTTTAAGAAAATCCAAAATAATTACCTTCATTAAAAATATGAAATTTTCGATAAACCCAAGATTTTCAGAGATATTCTTACTTAAACCGGTTCGGAAAAAATGTTTTTAATTTTTTTTGAAATTTGTTAATTTTTTTGCACAACATCTTCTGAATAAAATTTTATAGAATATTGCATTTTCCGAACTTTCAAAATGTATTATGATTTGCAAAATACTTTTTCTCACAAATCTAGTCAAAAAAAAAAAAAATCAACACTATTTTTTAGTCTATTTAATGGTATCTTATTTAACACACATTTCAAATTCAAAAACTTCTTAAAAAGTCATATAACAGTTTATATAGTATATCGGTGTAGAATTAATTACATCGTTCGCATAACCGACCACGGGTAAATTGTATGTCGAAGACACAGAGACACATTGTCCGCAAGAACAATATCTTTTTTACTTATGGAACATCTGTTAAGATTTCTTTCTTTTTCAGAGTAATAATTTGAGTGTTTGAGAGTTATTTCGATTTTGAAATTTTAGTGGCAGTCATAAATTTCTTTTTTATTGACAAAAGTTCAAAAATGGTCCCTATGGTTTTCGAAAATATGGAGTTTGGTCCCTAATTTACAAAAACTTCATGGATCGTTCCTGTGGTTTGAAAACTTTCAATGTTTAGTCTTTCCGTCTAACTCCGTTAATTTTCTACCGTTAAGTGAGGGGGCATTTTCGTCATTTCAATACCAGAGACCATTTATGAAGGTTTTCTATTATTTTAAAGACTAAAAAGAAATCTCTCTCTCTCTCTCCACCGCCTGCTTCCTTTCATCTTCATCAGATGGATCTCAAAAACCCAAAATCAAACTGGAATATGTGGCAAAACAAGTTTGTTCATCCCTAAACTATACAGTGAACACAAGAACCCACCCCTAAATTTAACCAGATTCGTTACCAATCGTGATTTGCAGGTTTGAAATTCAACAAAAATCGAGACCCATCATTGGGTCTCTTGGTCTCGACTGGACATCGACATAGATTTATCGAAATCGAAATGGTAAGGGCGGAGACGGCTTACCAACCGCAGCAGGGAATGACGGCGGAATGTAGTAACGATGGTGGTTGTGATTGGTGGCGGTGGGAGGCCTTACTGCTACGTTTCTGTTGTATAATGCTCTTCGAGGACCAAGAGGAAGCAACAACGATAACGACGTTGGGTGGTGGTGGGTTACGACAGGAGGGATATGGATTGCCACCGTCGGCTATGGTGATCCTCATCATCGATGAAGTGAGAAAGGGGGAGAGTGATGAGGTGGCACCTTTGCTGCCTTCACTGTTTATTCTGATTGGCGATAGGTGACGAGAGAAGGATGAAGGGAGAGATGGAGAAAGCTCAGAAACATCCCATCATAAGCACCGGGGTGGGTGGTGCTTGGATGGAAAGAGGTGGCAATAGGCACTTCGACAACTTCCTGTTGCCGGTTTTCCCTTGCTTTCTATTACTGATAATAGAGGATAGCAATAGGTGTAACACCCGTAGATCAGGGCTAGTCAATTTAGAGACGATAAACATTAAAAATAACTTTTTGATAGAATATTATTTGGAATGAATAATCTTAACTAAGTTGTAGTATATGTTACAAGGATTCCGTACATATAAAGAACGCCGAAATTCGAGTTATAACGAAGAAGTTATGACCTGTAGAAGTTTCGCGACAGAACCGGCATGACGCTGAATGACGTAAAATATACATTTAAGATAGAGCAATATCTAGCCTTAGTGATCTAAACGAAAGTCGTAGGATATGTTAAACCGAGAGCGTACATAAAAAACGCTAAAATCTGACTTTGTATGAGGAAATTATGATTTTTCGAAGTTTCGACTTAGCGATATGCAGCCCGATTACTCGAATATGAGATCGAATGATTTTTAGCCGAAACAATCTAAACGAGAATCGAAGATCTCGTAGATAGTAGTCCAACGGTAAATAGACAGACGAAAACGGACGTCGGATGATGAAGTTATGAATTTCTAATGAAGTTTTCATGTCCCGGCCTACTAAAAATATTATAAAAGTAATATACTTAACGGTAGAAAACTGACGGAGTTAGACAGAAAGATTAAACATTAAAAGTTTTGAAACCACATGGATGATCCGTGAGGTTTTTGTAAATTAGGAACCAAACTTCATATTTTCTAAAACCACAGGGACCATTTTTAAAGTTTTGTCTTTTTTATTTGTTGAGTAATATTGTCTTTTAAATTTCAATTTGAGAGTTTCTTTTTTATTTTGGAAATTTGAATTTCTAGTAAAGTTCTTTAAACTTTTAAGTTTCAAAAATTAAAGCTAATGGTAGAGTTTTTTTTTTCTTTGTAATTAGTATCTTATTACTGGAACTGATGTAATTTAAGTGTATGTCAGAGCTGTGATGCTACCACGAGAAATGTTATTTCAAATCACAACCCATGACTATTATTTGATTTTTTATTATGATGTATGCTTAGCAAACGAGTGAAACTATGTTTCAATGACATTGTTGTCTAGAATTGATCCTAACGGGCAACTAAGCTATCATCATATCAAGAAATGACATCCAATCAAGAAGAGAAATATGAGGTGGTTTTGAGGTCTTTGACTCGTAACATGTGGTTTGCAATAATGGAAACCAAAACTCATTCACAATGTACTCAATATCACTATTTCTATAAACTGACATATTCATCAACTTGATGTTAAAAATGCATTTCTTCACAGTGATCTTGTTGAAACTGTTTATATGCGTCAACCACCTAGATATATTAACTCTCAGTTTTTAGATCATGATTGTGGTATGCAAAAGGCTCTTTACGATCTCAACCAACTCCTTAAGTGTGGTACCAATGCTTTGCGGTCTATCTCTATTCTTTATGCTTTCTCAGCAGCAAAATATATTATTCTTACCACATCATCTCATTCTCTCGTCTCCAAACTCATCTCTTAACTATCATTTGAATTTCCAATGTAGCAATGTTTGATCTTGGCTCTTTGTTCCTTTTGCTTGGCATTATTTCCTCTCCCAGTGCTCCAAGTCTCTTTTTATCCTAAAACCTTTTTGCTCGAGATATTCTTACACATGCTGATGTGACCATGTGTAATCCCTATAGCGCTCCGGATGACACTGAAATCTAAGCTATTTACCGACGGAGATCTATTTTTTGATCTGACGTTATATCGAAGCCTAGCCCTTAAATATGTAACATTTACTCGTCATGATATTTCTTATGACGTACAACAAGTCCGTCTCTTCATGCATGACCCGAGTGCTCCATATTTCATGGTTCCTAAGTGTATTTTAGGGTACCTTAAAGGTAATCTTACGCACGGTCTTCATATTTGCTTGCCAACCGTCGATTGCTTGGCTTATTTGGAAGATGATTGGGCCGGTTGTCCCTCAGCACATCGACCCACCTTTGGTTTTTCTGTCTATCTAGGTGATAATTGGTGGGATTTATTGTATTCAATACATAGTAGTTTACACAGGAAAAAGCAAAAGAAACCTTATGTGTACATGTGTCCTATGAATCTAGGTTTTACTGTTATAGTAACATACTTTAAAGCTTGTAAAATTACTAACATCTTGATCTTGATCTTCTTGATTCCTTGATTGGGATCTTGTAACTACCACTGATGCAAGGTTGAAAGGACTCAAAGTAGGAATCCCTATTTTGCTTTACATCTAAGTCACTAACTAAGCAACCAGGAGAAATCCTAGGAGAGAGGGTAATTTTGAAAATCACAATAAATCATAATAAATCCCTAGGAAGGGTTATTATTTTTGTAAATGGGAGAGAGAGGGGAGGCCTAGATAAAGTCTTTAGGAGGCAATGAGTGTCAGGGTTGACCCTATAGATTCTTATTTATAACCTCCACCTTAATCATTAAGTTATTGAAATTCCTAAGAATAAATGAATAATCCATATCCTTTAAGATTTTGTCCCTACCGTTATTCTGGAGCGTTCTGGAATATTCTAGTTATATACTAATAAATTAATTAATATTAAACTTATTTAATTAATTAAAACTATTCCGTTAATTCCAAAATAATTTGTAATTAATTTATTAATCCATAATAAATTAACAAACTTATTTTCTCCTAATTCGTTATTGCTTTTGGGTCATGAGAACAACCCAAAAGGACTTTGATATTATTAGAAAGATTATCAATAGTAAATGACCTTAAACATTTCATCCAACAATAATCATGTATCCTGGTCCTCCAAACGACACTACATTGCTTCTCGTTCTAGTGACGAAGCCAAATATCGGGGGTAGCTAATATAGTCGCTAAAACTGTTCGGCTTTAGAAACTCCTTATTTAATTGCATTGCCCTTTGTCATGTGTCACTGTTGTTTTTTGTGATAAAGTCGGTGCCATGTATCTAACCTCCAACCCGATTCAACACCAACGAAGCACACATGTGAAAATTGGCTTACATTTTTTTAGGGAGCATGTTGCGATTGATTATGTGCATATTCTTCATGTGTCATCTGCATATCAGTATGCATATATTTTTACAAATGATCTACCTACACGAATGTTCCTTGATTTTAAACATAGTTTGAACATTTAAGAACCTCCTGCTCCGACTATGAAGATTTGTTATATTATACTTTTGGTTATATATATATATATATATATATATATATATATATATATATATATATATATATATATATATATATATATATATATATATATATATATATATATATATATATGTTATTGTGTAGTATAGGGACTATTGTAACTTGTATCTTTATATATTTGTAATATACATGCAACCATAATCATTGGGGGGTTTCTGTGTAACTCAAACACGTATAGGATATCAAGTTTACATTCTCTTTATAGTTTATACATAAGCAGTTCATGCTTTGTTGAGTTAAGTTCATGAATAAATTCAAGCACAAGTTTGTCATCATCTATAATATTATATGCTTCCACATTATCATGGGCGGAGCCACCTATAAGCTAGGGTAGCCCAAGCCTACCCTTAAATTCTCTCTCTCTCTCTCTCTCTCTCTATATATATATATATATATATATATATATATATATATATATATATATATATATATATATATATATATATATATATATATATATATATATATATATATATATATATATATATATATATATATATATATATATATATATATATATATATATAGTTTTGGCCCCTATATATTATCATTGTCTTTTATGAGTGTAAATAATAATAATGATAAATAATTTGAAAATTAGTGCCATGTTTTATTAGTGCATGTGAATATCTACCAGAAAATATATGATATAATCATATAAAGATGAAGATTGTAACAATAGAAATGACAGCCAATAAGCATTACCGAATGAAGCTAAAAAAATTTGCCAACGAGATGAACTTCGCAC